CACCTGCCGTGCTTTCTTTGGCCGAGGAGACCCGGGGCTTTTTCATTGTGACGTCTGCTGCTTTGTTTCGGGATCGTATCCGTAAATCCACGACTCATCCCCAGTGATGATGAGCTTCATGAACTCCGGATCGTCGCTTGCACTTTGAAACAAATCAGATGAGATTGCCAGTCACTGGAATTGCTGATCCTCAGTGAGGAGACGCGGCACAAGCTTTGCAGACACTCAGCGCATGTTCGAGTCCTTTCTCAAAATTTCATCACATGATCCTATGGAAACGCCACACTCCTGTGCAATTTCTCAAACTGTTAAACGACGATCAGAACGCACCACAGCCTGCACTTGTGCAATGTTGTCCTCATTGCGAGAGGTGGACGGGTGTCCAGAACGGAGATCACGTTCCACTGATTTCCGACCCCCCCCCTTGAATCGCTGGAACCACTCGAATGTTGTTTTCATCATCTCGTAGGTCTGGGTGCTCATTTTACCGAGCTTAAAGCAAAAATTGATACAGATTCGCTGTTCCGTGTTTTCAGACATTTTCTGTTTTCGACGAACGTACGCAAACACTCCACATGAAAGAAATCAGTGTGACTGAACGGCGCGCTGTACAGACCTGCCGGTTTTTGTGAAACGAGGTGAATATGCGCGTGCATGATGCGCACAGTCTCACCGCTAGGGATTTTCTGGAACAAATGGAATAAATTCAGTCTCGATACTTTCTGAACAGCCCTCGTATGCTATCCTCGTGAGCTCCTAAACTGTCAAGACAATAAAATAGAGCAGTTATGGGATTTATCTTTTACAAAATACTACACTAAAAACAAAAATATTGCACAAAGTAACGGTATTTTGTATTTTAGACAAGCTGTAATGAACCTCGCGAGACGTAAAGTTATTCAAAGCGGGCCACGTATTGGCCACCCTTGTTTTAGACTATGAACGACTTCAATAAATTCTTCTTCAATGAATTTTCTGTTTGTATTCTAGGACCCTTTTTGCATAAACTTTATTATTTTTTCCAATGGCAGATTGTAAACAATTACAAATGTAACCCAGTCCATTAATCTATACAAGACTGTATGTGGTGGTCTCTTTATTATAGAGGCAACTAATAGGTGGGCCACCATCGCCTTTCCTATGAAGGGACGGACAGTTACAACCCTGCCTTCTCCGGGATTTGAACCCAGGCCCTTCGGCATCGCAGTCATCTTCCCTGACCACTGTACCGACTGGGCGGCTGCATAAACTTTATTGTAGTATTAAAAAAGTAAAAAAGGGCAGGTTTATATAGAAATTTCAAGACAGCATAAAGCTTTGCAAAATGTGGTTAGCTAGTAGGTAGCTTTCTTCTGATCCGTTTTGTAAAATGCATTTCTGAATCCAAAACAAATAAAAGGGCTCCAATAGATTTTTCGCACTGTTGTTTTTGATTGTTAGGGGTATATTTTTCCCATCAGTTTTAAGTTTTTTGATAATTTCAAATATACTATCTTCGTGAGCTCCTAAACTGTCAAGACGTGATTCTAAATTTTGATACAGAGCACAAAACTGAGTTAAGATGTAAAATTCGCATTTTGATTTGCCCCGTTTTTGAAATGAATATAGTTTCTTATTCTAGACTTGACTATTTCAAAGAAGTTGTAGCTATGATAATGAGAGAAGCAGTTTTTTAACAATATATCTCATTGAAAATTCAGTAACATTTGTTTTTAAGCAACATTTTCTTAGGGTTACAACTGAATATTTAAATTTTATTGGTAAGGCTCTAGTACTGCCTGCCGTCCTAAAGTATTTTTCTTTTTCCTAGGTGATGACAGTTGAAAAAAGGAAAGATGCTTTAATTAAAACTGTTACTGAAAATAACTTTAAGAAACTTCAAGGCAAATTAAATTTAATCTTGATTTATATCCACACACTGATTAGAGTTTTAATGTTTTCGGTCTGAGGATAGTAATTTTTTTAATTAAAAACTAAAGTTCCTTACTTTTAATTATAATCCAAGCGACACTTTTTGCTTTCTGCATCTTTCTCTTAATTCAGTAATATATATAAGACTAACTTCGGAGAAACTTTTATTCATAATATGCCGAAATGATGTAAGTCATTTGTTTTGCACACAGATCGACAGTGCTGTTATTTTACATTATTCTATTTGTAGCGTCTGTAGCTGCCTTTTAAAAATTTTGCCAAAAGATAAGATTGAGAAGATAAGACTGACTATGAAAGGAAATAATGCTCTGCACAATTATCTCCTTCGTTTTCATAATTTCCTCTTCACTAATGAATTTCAGGAGAGAAAAGAGAATTTCCGCCTCGTGACTGGCATTTCTGGCCCAAATCGATACAAAGTTTGACAGGTACAGAATTTGTACTCTGCGAATGCTATTCACACGGTATGATTTCTCTATCTCTGTTACAGATTACCATAATATATGTAGTATGGTTTTTAAAAATATGAAACTGGTCAAGCACTGTTTCTTTGAAGAATTACATATCGAAACAGAATTTCATAAAGCTAGTTTAGGAGTAAAGATTTTCAATCTCAACATTTAGAAAGTTCATAACTGCTATGATGTGCCAAACATACGGTGTGTACAAAATATTTAATGATTCGTATAGGTTAATTTTTCACTAAAAAACTAAAAATATAATCTTTCTAAAACGCTGATGTGTTGCTAAAATCTTTTGGAAACAGAGGAAATTTTGTTAAATACCCTCACATTTTAGAGGAATGTAAACAACAAACATTATCTGGAATAGTTTTTATAGTTTTGCATTTACATGTGATTTGTACATTTCTTGATCAAAATATAAATTGTTAAATCTAAGGGGAAAAAAATGTTTGAATTGTTCTCTTAAAAAGCAAAAATGTATGAATAGCATCTCAAAAGTAAGTTTATAAGAGTTATAATTTCAAATTTTATTTGAAAAACAATGCAGAGTACATCAACCGTCATTACTCTATTATTTCCATTAATTGCATTGCTTTTATATCTGGTCACTATGCTAAGAGAAACATTCCATTTAGCATGGAAGCATGGAATGGAAAAGTTTTTCGATGCGCATCCCGTTAAATACGGTGCCCTAACTACTGAATTATCATATCCTCATTATTTTGATATTTTCATTATTTGGAAATCTCCCAATGCCTTTTCCTTATGATCCTTGTAATGGGCTTGCGGGACCAGTCGAGCCCACGAGTTATGAAAATTAATTTCTTACACATATATTATACTGTTCAAGATGACAGACACATGCCATGTATTAGTTCATTCACAAATATTGGTCTGCCCCCCCTGAATTCTCAAGAACATTTCGATGACCCTAGATTTCCGAGTAAAAAAGATGCCAAAACATCTATGATAGACAATGTTCAAAGCATAAGCGTTTGGTACTCCTTTCATCATAATACTGCGAGATGAGCACCAAAAACTTGTCTTAGGCTCAGATAAAGGTCTTAGTCATCATGACGGCTAAATGAAAAAAATGAATTGTCCAGTAGAAATCTCAATGCAAAGTGTCTCCTGCGCAAATAAAATTTACTCTTAAAATAATAAATAACATGTGTTTGAAATGCTTTCATATGATGAACAGATGAATTAGAGAAAGAGCTGTACAACTATCCTAAATTGCAGTCTATAACAGAAAGCGACGAACCAAGAATGAGTTATTCGAGTGGGACGAAACTGAGTAATTCCATATCTTACGATAGAATATACAAATGATCAACTTTTGGTGGCCACTGACTGACTAGATGGAGCTCCAGTTCACTACGCAGCTATCAGCATCACAATCAGTAATGCCCTGATTTTCTTACCTGAGCCAGGTGTCACAAATATGGGACATAGATTCTTTATCAGTTGGTTATAATCGGATGAATGAAATCGTGCCGAAGACAAATTAGTATATTACAAAGCAGTAAAAGAGATGTGGGATGTTCTTGGCCTGAGGAAAAATTTATTATTTTAATAAGTAATTATTTTCATACCCAAAACGTTCTCTATTTCCTTTTCGTCCTGTGGTACATAAAGTAACCGAGTAGAGAACGAAAGAGTTTATAGCGACTTTAAAAAAATTTTATTTTGATGCAGTATTCCATTTTTATAGATTATAATGTAGAAGCATTTATCATAAGCAAAAATAAATAATGCGAAACTTATAAAGTTGCCACTTCAATAGAAAACGTTATTGATATGTGGATGAGTGTAACAGATGAACATGAACTAAAATAACGAAGTCACCATTTATTACATTCTTGGCGAATAATGACTGATGACCTTTTTTATATGATTCTTAACGATGGGAAATTCTTAAGTATCAATTTTTGTATATTTCTATGAAGTATTTTAAACAATTTGAAATTTAACTGATAAACTGAAAGTTTAAAACCTAATCACATATTCATAACTATTTATTTAACCTACCTATGTTTTGGACGACTGTTTCCCGTCTTAGCACTTAACTCGAAGTCTAGAAATATAAAACACAGAAAAGATGTAAAATTTAACTGGAAGTTTCTTTAAAGGTATGTTTTGTAGGAACTTTAACAAAACTTACCGCTATTTGTGGGATAGCTAAACTGAAAATATTTAAATATATACAAGCATAAAAAATGAATCTCATAGCTAAAATATCCAGCTTCAACTATTCCCGGTTTCCAAGTTTAAATGCTAGCAAATACAAAAGAACACTCACTAAAATGCAGCTCGGTACACAGGAGGATGGCTGGCGAAATATATTGCTTTTCTGACACGTTGCCTGTTACTCGAAGTTATCTCTGTAGGTTACGCAGTCTCCTTCTATTTAAAAAATCTATCTAATTTTCATTCTGATGAGGCTAACGGAAGAAATAGAAATTACGGGAAAAAAATTAACATAAAAATAATCACAGTATTCACTAATTCTATCATATAAGAACAAGATCATACAACTTAAAAAGTCTACTGAAATATCCATGTATTTTAAATAAATCTGTTTTCTGCCCTTTTTTCCTGCAGGTGCTACTGCTTTGCAGCAAATGAGAAAAAGAAATATGATTCTGCCACAGTTGTCGAAGATAACTGTTGTTTCTGCAATTATGCTGCCCTCAGACGCCTTTGCAGAGAACATAATATGGAGATTGTGTTTGCTACTTACCACGTAGAAGTAAGTAATAATAAAAACCTTTCGTAAGCCTATCTGTTATGCATTTAATTTTTTTCAAACTCGTTTTCGGTGATCATGTAGGTATCGGTGCTGATATGGGTAAACGTAAGAAAACTAAAATTGATTATGAAAATTGTGAAACTGTTTATGAATTAGTGACGGCTAATTGATTATGAAAATAGTGAGGAATATGCATAAGAGGAATGAAATGTAAGAAGTATCCCAAAAGGCAATATATTTTTATGAACTTTTTGCTTTTTCCTTTCTCCTTGATCATGAAAGCAGACAATATTACGCTTCTAGTTATTATTTTAAGAATTTTTATTTTTTATTTATTCTGCTGGTTTAAAATTTCATTTCTTTTGGCGCTACCTTTTAGATCAGCGGGTTCTCAACCTTTCGACTAACGCGTACCATCTAAACAAAAATTGAAAACCTTTAGTACCACTACTACCACTCTTGAACAAAGTTCAGATCCCATAAATTTACGAGTGTTAGAGAAGAAACTCAATCAGGATGTTGGGGTTTTAATTTTTGAATTTTTAAAAATACTTTGCTTCTTTGCGTACCACTAGTGGTTCGCGAACCAGCGGTTGAGAACCTCTGGTTTAGATGTTTATCTCCTGAAAACAGTTGCTTCTTCTTTAAGACAACTTCTAAATTTTAAATTGAAATTAAATATTTACCTTATTTTAAGTACGCAAATTAGTCTTAGTTTGTTTAATTTATATGGAATTCAAATAACTCCTAATTATGATTGAGATGTATTAGGTTTGCAACAAACAAAAAATAACTTAAAATTCTTACAGTCAGTTTTATCTGCCCGATATAAGTTAAAGAAGAGCTCGGACTTAGATTGCACAGACTATAATACAATATTTATCTTACAACCTACAAGGACCGATATTTCAGTTACTTTAGTTGGCAATGAACCTCCAGTCTGTCACACTCAATAACTGAATAAAAATTCTGTACTTGCGTAAAAAAGTGGTATTAAGCACAAGGAGGTTAGAATAGAAGGAGGGAGGGTTCGCGGTTTCCTCCACTATCGGGGAATGAAACTCCGCCGAACAAGCGGCGTCCATGTTTGTGACTTCAAAACATTGCATTACGGCAGTGACATGTACGTGTTTCTAACCTGTTCCGTGCATTTATTTTCCAGTAAAAATATGTTAAATTTATAATGAAATCCCTCGCTATTGTTGAATTTTTGTTTTAAAGTAATAAAGATGATATCCATAATTTACTATGTACAGCAAATTATTAAGAAATAGTTCGAAATCTAAATGCATGCGCATAACATTAAAGCCTTTAAAAAATGATGTTTCTGCATATTTCACGGACTTGCTTAGGTTAGAAAATAAATCTTAATAAAATAAAACAGATTTATGTGAATTCATTGATTTCAGTTTATGCGCATTTCATATTTATTAATCTCAAAGAAACTGCCTTTAATTAAATTGAATTACAGAAATACACCTATATAAGTTTTTGGATACATCTTTTCACATGTTCAATTGTGTAAATATTTTACTTAATTTTATCACTATACTGCCCAGAAATTTGTAAGTTTATGCAAAAAATTTTTAACAACAGAACAGTTTATCTTAAAAAATGAATAATAATTAATATATAAAGAAAAGCATTGCTTTATTTAACACCTTTACAATTAATAAAAATAGTAACAATTAATTTCTTACTTTTCATGAAAGTTATAAAACGAATTAACTAAAACGTTCAAATTATACAATTTAAATCCTACCATATAGCATTGTATCTTAAGGAACGAAGATACCAGCTATAAACAGAAATATTAAAATGTATTTAATATATTTTGGATTATAGTTATATTAAATAACCTATTTTGATTATTTAAGTCCTTTTTTTTCACATCTGGAAAGAAAACCAACATGACATTGTGATATTTTTTGACATAGTTGTCATATTACATAAAAAAAGAAAATTAATACTTACGTGTGAAAAATAATGCCTAGAATTTTTTTCGAGAATCTATTTGTGCATCCATATGCAATACAAGCTGACATGCTTCAAAAAGAAAAGAAAAAAATGTTGCAATGACAGACTTCCTTGCACAAGTCACGGTGATAACAGGAAGATGGCCGCCAAGCTTCACCGTTTGAGTTGAACCTTTCCTCCTTCTATTCTAACCTCCTTGATTAAGCAGTATGTTTGGTGCAGCAGAAATTTAAACATCACTGCAGCAATCGCTGAAAACGCTTTAAAAACACCACGTATTCTCGGATTTTGTACGGACTTCCTTAATTCTCCAAATAACCAGCTCTTTCTGTAATGCTTCCTGATGCTTGAATTTCCGACGTCATTTATTAGTCGCGTTAAAAGTATAAATATTTGCTTGCCTTTTTTCTCTTCAGAGAAATTACCACTTTAGAGAATCTATAAATAATCAAGATTTCGCATTTAATCATCAAAAATAGGAAACGGATGTTCAAATGTAAATCATGTCACACCAAAACTGTTATATATATATATATATATATGATTAAAATGATAAAATGTGGAAAAAAGACACAAGGTGATGGATGTTGTGTAAGATGTGAATAAATTCCCAAAATTTGGATTACAGTAGGAGAAAAATGCATGGGCTTATCTAGTTTCTCTATTTCATACAATAACGCCAGAAGCCTTAACTTTCTATGAAATACCGTCATGACTCTTAAATTTATTCTGAAGGACCTCTTACTTTGCAGTAATAAGCCAAGATGCTTTCGTATAAAATAGACAGATAGCCCTAGTGCAAATTGCTATTTTCAGTTAAACAAACAAGCAAGCAATCTTTATGCCGAGACAATCTTGTGAATATTTCTGCCATGATGAACAGTGGATGACTTGACTAAATGTGTCATCACCTTTATGTTAAGCTACTGTTATTCAGCGCTCTCCCTCCAGAGCTCCTGAAACTCCAATCAAAGGTTACGAGGACTTCATGCGAAATCTAATCTTTTTTTTTTTTTTTTTTTTTAAACCATCTCTGCGAAAAATGATGCAAATAAATTTGTTGAATAATTAAACCTTTCCAAAAACTTTAGCATTTCTCTCATTACGACATGTTTAAGAATTTTCAGTTAGCATGTTTCTGAATTCCCGTTAGAAGTTCGAATCCCGCGAACGGGCTGGCTGCATGGATGTTTTCGTGGTTTTCCCCATGTGTAACGTGTATACGAGCCAGTTTCCCTTAGAAAGTCCTCCACGAAGGCATTCCTCCCTTTAGGCAAATAGCCCTCGAGGCTTTGCCGTAATTAAATAACCTAACCTAAGCTGAAGTCCCGTTACTTTTTTCGATAAACCTCTATGATTATTAATTAAAAATCTAACGCACTCAGTTTATTACTTTTCCATAAATTTCAGAAAAATTATTATAATTTCTTCTATCATTAAAAAAGCAACAATTTTCGTATTTGAAATTTATCTCAAAATATTTTTAGAGCACACATTTTAACTTCTCTTCAGCGTAGATATAAAGGCGTTTAATTCGGACAAAATTTGAGAAACAAAATGATAGAGAGTTATAGTAATAAAATGTGCAGGCGAATAGCCCTTTTCTATAAGCAAACAATCCAGCTGAATCCAATAAAATATGCATACTCAGAAATTATAAAGGCAAAAGTTTCGTTTCTTAGCTCAACTCTCGTTAACACTAACAACTTGAATGTCGTATTAAGTTAGCATTTAGCAATTTCAGCTTTTTAACTGGAAGTTAAAGGAACCCAAACAAAGAAAAGAAAACGAGAAACGTGAAATACAGTTTTCTATCATTTTGAATCTGAAAAGGAACTTAACTAAAATCATGAAAGTCACTAATATACATGCAAGCATCGTCTTCCAAAAACTTCGAAACATCATTCCCGCTTTACTAAAAAATGTATTTATGATATGAAACGATCTGAAAACACACTATAAGTGATATGGCTCAAAGCACTTAAAAAATTTCAAAACAACCTTTATAAAAATAACTTGATGGATAATACATTAAATAATTCTGGAAGTAAGCGTTCAAAATCTAGTTTTATTCCAAAGAAAATATTTAATAGGGTTAGCTCTTTTTTTTTCCTTTGGCTGAGGTATTTTGAGAATACATAGAATGATATTACATTCAGTGAAAGGAGACGATAGCCTAGCTAAATTTATTACGTTTGAAATTATAAAAAGTCAACATTCGAATAAAGAATTGTGCGAGAATAAAATGCTGTAAGCAAAGTTATTGTTAATAAGTTAAGCAATATTGTTAAAAAATTTAGCAATAATTACGTAAGAGGAGTATTATTTGAGTTTTAATAGAAGAGTGCTATTTTAATTGGAACAGTAACAATTAAATAAGCTATTTGTCTTACTAACATTATATTCTGTTTTAATTAGGCCTTAGATACCGCCATTATCAATTTGCAAAAGAGACTATTAAGCTACTCATATAGATAATAATTTGTTTATATATATGTATACACATATATGTGCCAAAAAATAAGTTTACACTACTTTATTCGGTACTGACATATTTTTCCCACTATCATGAAAATTAGCGAAGATCTCGCCAAACTTGCACCAGTCATTGGAGGAAGATTTTGAACAGATCGTTCTTTATTTCATCAAATAATTAACAGGTACAAATTACGGATATAACATGCGACATGCGACGGAGGACGTGAGCACCACCCCTCTACAAATACGGTTAGTCGGTATAGCGCCACGTCCACCTTTATCTAGATAACCATACGTGGTCATTGTGCTAATACAGCGCAAGGTGTTGAGATTATCTGAGAAATAAAATCATTAAAATTTTCGCCACTTATTCCGTCGGCCAAAAATCCCTAATGCCGTTAAGAATAGCAACAAAAGCGCCATTTAAATTCGGTTAAACACTAAACTCAGTTGTGTCGAGCGGTCTCGCGATGTTCCCCATTGCGCCCTTTAATAGAATTTCAGAGCCTTTTAGGGGCTTGAACAAGCATGTGACACTTTGACAG